AGTGGTTGTTTTTATAAAGAATATATTTCAATCTGTTATCTGAGCTCTTAATTACTGTCAGCAGTTTTCTTGAGTATTTAAGAATAAAAAGATGGAAATATGGGGAAAATTATTTATCATAATAACATGTTAACTCTTATTTGTAAAGTAAGCTATGGTCAACAAGGAAAAACAAATTATTTAATTCAAATGAGATTTCCTACTCTTCCCCCGAAAAATTAAAAGCTTCATATTGTCATAGGCAAAAATACATACAAAAATCTTGCTATTTTTTTTTTAAACAAACATAAAGACTCCTACCTTTTTGGTTTTCTTTATCAAATCCTGAAGTCTGTTAAAAGAAAATATTTTACTTTTATTAAACAATTCAGTTGTAAGTAACAAAACAGGTTATAAAACCTAAAGAATCCTACCAGTGATTTGTAGAGATTGGATGTGGGGTTGATTTTAAAGAGTTGTAACAGATCCTGCATAGTAAATACCTATAGGGAAAAAAAAAGATTAAATAGCCTTATTTTTACATCAACATTTAACATGATAAGTTAGGATATGTTTCTGAATATGAAATTAAGAATCATGTTTCAGATTAAATAAAAATATTATAAATACGCTAATAATACAAAACTTGAAGCTTTTTGTTTTTTTGGGTGGTACTAGGGTTTGAACTTAGGGTTTCACACTTGCAAGGCTGGCGCTCTACCACTTGAACCACACCTTCAGCCCCTTTGAAGCTTTTTCTTATACTGTTAAATAAATTACAATCAACATATTGAGGTTAAGAGGATAAAAAATTTTTAATCATGTAATTAACCTCCAAATACTTTGTATCAAAGATGATATACCTAAAGACATGATTAGTACATCAGAAATATCAGAAATGACAGAGTTAATAGCTTATAGACGACACTCAAATACGTGATAAGCCAACAGATATTTGAATGAATTCCAGGGTCTTTAGGTTATACTTATTTACAAATGCTAATAAACTAAATTTTTACTATCCTTATACCTATGAATTAGTATAGGGGACCTAAAAATGTTTTGAAAACAGACATTTTTGGTAGCTATTCTTTTTTTCTGTGGTACTGGGGTTTGAACTCAGGGCCTCATGCTTTCAAGACAAACATTTTCCACTTGAGCTACATCCTCATCCTCATGATAGAAATGTCTGTACTTCTACTACAGTATATATTTTTTACTATATCCGCCTTTAGAAAATTAGTATAATTTGTTTTCAAGTGGTTTTCCTTTAAAGCAAAGATTCTGACACTGGGGGTGCATCTAAAGTGGTAGAGTGCCTGCCTAGCAAAACTGAGGCCCTGAGTTTATACCTGGGGTGGCGCAGGGTGGGAAGATAAGAGGAGGAGGAGGAAGAGAGAGATTTTGCATGGCATTTTATAATAGTAGGAATCATTAAATGTATGAACTGGTAAAATTACTGCACAATTGTAACATGTATCATTAGAAAGTTAAGACAACAATGGATTAAGAATGAATTCCTAATGTTGATAAATTGAATTCAGATGTTAATGAAGAAATATAGCATATTTAAATTTTCAGCTTTCATTCAAATACATTGTTCTTATTTCCTTAAAACTTTTGGACAATTATAGACAAAATAAAGAGCAAAAATATAGGTGACCCTATTCACCAAAAGTGAATCCTAATGTGATCTATGGGCTTTGAGTGATACAGCAGTGTAAGTTCACTGATTGTAGCAAATGTATCACCCTGATGTAAGATGTTGATAGTGTGGAAGATGGGTGAGAGGGTAATATGAGACATCTGCATTTTCCATACAAATTCTTCTATAAACCTAAAACTGCTCTCAAAAAATTAATTCTATTAAAAAAACACATACAAATACAGGGAAAGTTTGCTACATCTGCGTTTAAGATAATAAAGTGACTAATATGGTCAATTGTGATGAAAAATAGTTAAAATCATTAGAAAAGTGATCAATATAAACCATGCATTTTAATATTTGAGAACTTTACAGATTTTTTTAAATGATGTATTTCTTACTTTTTGTAATTACAAAGCAAAATTATCTGAAGAGACCATAGCATAGTAAAAAGAATACATTCTAGAGATCTAAGTTTATTGTACTCTGTTACCACTTAGAATTTACATGACCTTGGGCAAACCATTTCACCTCTCCACAGTCTGGTTCATCATCTATAACACATATAACACCTGCACTGTCCCTAGCACAGTGTCAAGTTAACAGAAGATATTCAACAGAAATGGCAATTAAGAGTCTAATTAGACTACATGGAATGTAAAATCAACTCCAACTCCAATTTAGTGATTCTACACAACACCATTTTAGAAAAGACTAAGTGAGATAGCAAAACATTAATAACAACCAAATTTAGTATTAATTTGTTATGTAATATGTACAGGTACACTGTGAATTCAAAGAGAAACAAAAAAGAGACCTATCTAGTCAAGGAATTTAGCTTAATTATGCAGCACCTTACAATCATTAGAGGAAGAAACTGTTGATAGAAAATTCAAAACCAGAAAGACCTTACCTTTTCTTTTGCCAAACCACTTTCTGGAAAGAACACAGAAAGTGAATATTCATAGCCACATTTCTGTAAGTGATCTGCCACTAGAGAGTTAGAAGCACCTATTAAGAGGGCACTCCCTTCCACTGAAATGGACTGAGGCTGTAGTTCTCCACTCAATACAGGGTGCATCAATTCATGAATTAGCTGGTTTCTGAGTTGTGTCTAGTGTGAGAGAGAGAGAATTGTTTCACTAAAGATATATACAGGTTTGTCATTTTACCTAGAATCCTTCCTTTTAATTTCCAGAACGGTTCTAGATCCATGAATACAAGTTATAAACCATTCCTTGCACATGTTGTTTTACCCTGTGAGACAAGCAGCCCAGTGGGTTCAGGCAAAACTTTTCTTTCCCCAGCTCACACATAAACTGGTGGCCAGCCAGACTGCTTACAGATTATAATTTCACTTCCTTAGGACCCCATTTCAGCTATTAGTGATGAAGATATCAAGTAAAAGAGAAAATTCTGCCACTTTACCACCTCTGTGAATTGTTGGAAGCTATGAAGTTAATATTGGGTCAATGCAATTTATTGGACACATCGATCAAAGTAAAATTGGGTTCATAAAAGAGAAATAATACATATAAGAGAGAAAATAGTAAGCCCAGAGAAGGCTTATTACGAATGAACATTCATGGGCTGTAGATGTGGCTCAAGTGATAGAGCATCTGCTTTGCAAGTGCAAAGCCCTGAGTTCAAATCCCAGTCCCACCAAAAAAAGAATATACTTTCACACAGAGTATTTACATCTTGAGCCACTGTGAAGTTTAATAATTTTCTCATAATTTATAAATGAGGAAATCTAGACTCAGAGTGAATTATTTTCTCAAGGTTACAACACTGGCAATATTATTCTTTTGGGTCTTAAGAAAATCCCCTAAATTAATCAGACTCCTGGATGCTTAATTCTATTTTGCATATAATTTGGAAATACTGTTAAGCCGAGCTTAACAGTAAGTTGCTCAGCAGCAGGAAATAATATGTAACAATTTATATTAATATAATATAACCAAGCAGCAAATAGAATTCTTACTTTACTTCTTTCTTATATCCTTTCACTAGAGTAGAATGGTATATACTTACCAGGATAGAATGAGACTTATTATACATCTAAGATACTGTATTTAAAAAGACATTTACACTGAACAAAATACAAATACTCAGTCTCATCTAAGGCAATTCGCTACATGAAATAATAAAGCAAGAAAAGAGTAATTATAGTATCCTTCACCAATAAAATCTAGAAATAGCTTAATTACATTTATAACATATAGAGGAAGTAGTATATTCAGATCCAGCTCAATTAATAAAAGGATTTAGGATGACTTGCATGCAGGATAAAATAAAAAATGTGAATGCTATAAGCAGAATGAAAATAAAATAAGAGTAGGAAATAATGAAATGGCATTATAGACAAATTCCCATCTTGACAAACACAAAAAGCATCACATCTATATTTACTAGGAGTCACAAACTGCCTTTGTACTTCTCAGCAGCCAATGCAAGAAAGAAATCTATTCAGAATTAAAGTTCACAAGGTCTCTAAGATAAAAATCAAAAGTAACATGAAAGAAGGACAATTACCACAGGGGGTAGGGGGGAGTGTTAGAGCAGAGATTTTAGTCATCAACACACATCTGAAAAACTGATTAATTAGACCCAAAATAAGGAAACAGATGTAACAAGCTTCATTTACCTATGATTTTGTACTTAATGGTGAATACAAATTTTTTTCGAATACTCAAGCAATATGAATTAGGTCATTAAAAATATTCAGTAAATTTTAAATATTAGAACTCACCTATGCCAGTCATTGAACTGAGAAAGTAAAAATCAGCTCAGACTGAGAAAGTAAAAATCTGCCATTGATCAAGTTAGAATAGGAACTGAA